GATCCACAGAGGATTCATCAGTCAAAAACAAAATAAATATTTTGGCACAATTTCTAAGCATGTTTCCTAGAGAGTGACATCCCAAAGATAATTTCAAAATATTCATAATTCAGAATCTTGTTTTATTCATTTTACAGCATCCCAGTTCTTTAAAGACCTTCCAACTATGTCCTGATCATGTCTTTATTGAACTTCATCTTAACTCAGGAAGAGCCATCACAGCCTCAAGCCACACCATTCATTGCACTGACATGCAGAAGTTTAGCAGCTGAAATCTATCAATTGTAACATTGTCAAGAAAAGTTTTGCAATTAAATTTATGTTTGTCAGGCTGTTGTTGGAAGCACAGGATTAAACTAGCCATGAACCTGACAGTCTTGAGACTTTCTTCCATTCCACCTTATTGGTTCCCTAACCTATAAACATAACCTACAGACTTATGTGATTAAATGTGAGGTTTTTAATACTATGTCCCATCATTTTACGTGAACATTGAATGTGGGTAAGACATGTACACCAGAAGAATGAATCAAATGCAACCACCCCTAAGTAGGACATTCTCCTCATGCAAGTATACATTTGCCCTCAAGCCTCCTGTTTTCCTAGACTGTAGTCATTGCTTAATATTTATCTGGAGTTTCTTCAGCCTGACCTGAATTTGACTCTTGTGTGAAGCTGAAGAGAGCCAGGTAGAGCATGCAGCATTGTGCAAAATCCATCAGACCATCCGCGTCAGGAGGATGTTCCGTCAGATTACTTCTGCTACTAGAACATAATTTAAGAGGTTCTGCCATCTATGCCTTGTATGTAAGCACTCTCTTGTTTTGCATCAGAACTTATTTTTAGCTAGTTGTTTTTCTTAAATGGAGATTGTATCACCTTTTGCCCTTGGTATTGTGGCTTGTGATTTATACTGATGTTGCTTGGGTAATACTGATGAAAAGACAGTTCCCCACCCCCATTAGCTGTGAATAGGAAGTCAGAAGGGAATACATTAAAAAACAAAAAGAAGGCGCAGCTGATGGTTGACATTCATTTATTTATAAAATTTATTGACCACCTCAACCCTGAGGGATTGTAAGCAGTATTCAGGGAAGACTGTAGCTAGAAAGTTGTTTGTCTGCTGAATTTTAACCTGTTTTGTGATGCCTAAGGAGGTGTCCTTTTTGCCTTCCTCTTGTTTTAGTTTTCCTTCCTCCCTCCCTTCCTCTATGCTCCTGTTTCTGCTGGAAGGAAGAAGGGAAAGGGGAAGTTATGTGTTAGCATCTTTTTGTATGAGCATAGTTTAAGGGTGGGAACATGTCAAATACCATTTTATAAGTGGAGTCTAATATCATTTACAGCTATTTTAATCAGCTGATTAATAATTATTAAATATCAAGGTTATTTTTGTATCAAGCCTTCTTTGGGAAGGTATATGTATACACATATATGCACACACACAGGTGTGTCACATGTATACTTTTATCTGGCTCTGTTTAACTGAAATTGGCAACCTAGTCTGATGGGATGTGAGGAGGTAAAGCTATGCATTGCACAGGATTTTTACTGGTTTTTTTTTAATCTACTCTTTCTATTCATGAGGATTACCTTTTAGATATATATGATATGAAATCACCTTTACTAACTTGTTTTGTACCTTTTCAAAGTAGGTCCCTCATACTTGACCCACACCTTGTACTTCTTCTGTTTCTGAAATATGAAAGGCAGCTACAAATGGCTCTTTCAAGATGACTATTTCAGGTCAAGGGGGTAGGTGGAATGAAAGTCAAAGCAAGATGCCCTAAGTCTACTTTTGTATATACTCATTGTCAGACTATTTTCTTATTTATACTCTTGCACAATCAAGAACATATGATCTTCAGAAAGACTTTGTAGTTTGAGCCATGAAAGAAAAATCAGAGACTGGTCCAGTGTCAGCCCTAGCAACAACATGCTACATGAGCAGCGATTTGCCAAAACCCCTTGACACATGTTTCTGCAAATTTCTGTGGGGCAAACAGCAAACGAGATGGAACCTTGTTACATGTTGTGGGATACAAAAATATACTGAAAAGTCCCACGCATTTGGAGGATGGGATTTTAGGGGGCATGGTCAAGATCATGAAAGACATGTGAACTGAATGGTTGATGGCAAGATCTCAAGAACGTGAAATACTTTTTTGTGATCACTGGTGACAAGCCTAAAAGAAAGAGCAGTAGTGGTAGACAAGCTATCTTCGCTATCAAGTTTTTTCTTCCAGTGAGGAATCTTCCTAAACTTCTGATAAACCTCAATATTTTCAAAAGTATTTTAATAAAGCAAACACAATGTTTGTTAAGCAGTATAAAATATTTAGGTTGTTATGCTGCAGGGAAGAAGGAGGGCAAAATGCAGGTAGTAGAGTTATACTTAAACTCTTTGCATTGTGGTTAAACTGGTAACTTTCTCTCCATATTGAACTCCAAAGAAGTCAGTTATGCATGTCTACAGAGAAACTAGCTGAGTGGACAATTCTATGGCATGATTACTGCATTGAGCAAATTTTCAGCTTCAAAAAAACAGGATTGTGCTTGAAACAAAAATTAAATGCACACAAACAGCAAAATCCTACTGAGATTTTTTTCAAAAGTAAACCCCACTGAATTAAACAGGAATTCCTAGGTAACCCAGGAGGAGATTGACTTGGGTAACAACAAACCAATTTGCAAGAGCAAATGTGTTGAAAATGCCTTGTGAATGTGGAGAATGCTGGACTTGCCTAAAGCAGGAGTGGGAAATTGGTAATTTAACTGCAATAAGCCCAGCCAATGATAAGAAATAAAGGAATGACTGCAAACATTGTTTGGGTGGTCCACAAGCCAACAAAATGTAAGCATTCTTCGTAAGATACATTGAGATTTTGTATTGCTGACATTATGTAGTATTGAAATATCTTTGTTCCAGTGTTGGAAAACAATAAATAAGTTCTCAACTTCTTTGGAAAGTTGCTCTTTTGTATCTTTTGATTAGCCCCGTTACAGCATGCCGGCAGTTACTTTTGTTTTTTAAAACACTGTTGCATTGCTTATTCTGTGTTAAAAGCTTTGTTGTTTTATTAAGAAGCAGAAAATCAGTTAGTTTTTTAAAGTAATTTGCTTCCTGCAAACCTTAAAAGAATGATTAACAAAAAACATTGACCAAATTGTTGTAATCTAAATTTTCATAAAAGCGGAGGAGGAGAAGTAGTAGTACTAGTAGTAATTCCATCAGCCAGTGGTAATTCAATCAGTTTCTGGCTTCTGGTAGATCTGTAATCTACAAACATGGACATCAAACTTACTTGCTACATCTTATTAAAAAATAGAAGGAAAAAAGGTATTCATTTTTCAGCAAAACACTGGGTTTCAGAACCTATTAGAGCCACTTGTACCCAGTATTCAATAAACAGTGAGACTATTAACAGTTAGGAAATATTTTAATTTTTAATTCAGAGTAAGAAAATACATTATACCCATACTTTTCTTCATTTGATTCTTCGTGACAAGGGTTGGTTCGCTCCCTCCATCTTTCTTACAGAGCTTAGATAGGAGACCACAACACAGCTGATCCAAACAGTGCTCAACATTGGACTCCGACTTTCAACAATTAAACTTTTCCATTAATCTTTGTATCACATATACAATATTCTGGGTAACCAGCTTCATGAGAATCATGCCCAAGCCCAGAAGTGAAAATAGGCTCCAAGGTATGAAGAATTTCAGAAATGAGGCAATTCGCAATTTGTAAATAACAAAACAATTCAACAGAGGAGACTCAAGGCATCCAGCATCTTTTGGGGGTTGCTGGATCAGAATTTCAAGAGATGCAGAGAAGGAACATTTCCCTAATATCTTGTAAATCTTAGAGCATTGCCCCTGCTTCTTGGAAAAATATCAAGGGAGACAATATAAACATTACCAAAGGAGGAAATATCTCATAATCATAAGGTACTGGAGAAACAGTAGAAAATTTGGAACAATGTGCAAAATTTCTCCTCTGCTTTGTCACAGCTTTGCCTGTAACTTCATATTATTTCTCATCTTCACCTTTTTTTTCTCAGTATCCTGTAGATTAATCAGTCTCCATCTGCACTGTATACAAAATTCTCCCGTCCTTGCACCTCTATAGGTTTCAGATTAGTTTAGTGTCCCTTTCTACCTTTTTTTCCCTCTCTGCTACTGCAGAATATGTTGAAAGCTCTACTGATTTCTTTGATACCCTGCCCAAGTATCTCTGTATTTGTATTTGTATCCTATTTCCTTACTTCAGTTTCTCTTTTGAAATGAATTCATTTCTAATTCCTCTCTCTTACAGGCACTGTAACCCATGCTTTTAAAATAAAGCCTATAACCCCCACATTAGCCAGGGCCTCTCTTTTCCACACTGTTACTAGCATTTAGACTAGAAAGTGACTTTGGCTGCAGTCTTATTCCTATGTAAGCCCCATTCCTCCCCTCCCCTCCCCTCCTCTCCCACCACAAATTAAAGAAGTGCTTCTTAATCTCTGCTACATGAATAATTTCAGATCCATACTCCAACTTGCCCGGTTTAGCTACTCTACCTATAAGACCAGGTCAAACACAATACAGTTGCACTTATGCTGGATATTAAAGTCTCCTGCTCACAGTGGGTTTTATTATCAATTTTACTGAAAATTGTGAGTGCCTTTTAGCTGCTACCTTGTTCCTTAATTCATGATCACATAAAATAATTTCAGTTTGCTTTGCTGTTAAGTTTTTACATTTGGTTTTTGAATACTTTCGTTTTTCTTCTGTTGTTCCACAGTAGCAGAATCTGGTGAGACAACAAATTAAGCCACCTCCACAAATTTGTCAGTAGAAATCTACTCCTAAAAAAAAATTCTGTACAGTCTTCACTGTGAAAGTAATATGTAAGTGGCAAAAAGATGGTTCTGAGACAGAGTCAATGAAATTAAGCAGAAGGAACTAAAATGATTAAAACACCTGAAACAGATAACGCATCTGCTTCAAAACCAGAATTATTTTTTACAAACAAGTTTATTGGAGCACAGAGTCGAATTACAGCAAATCTTTTCTTCTGTACAACAGTAGAACGGCCAGTGCAAAATATGTATTTTTAAAAACCTATAAACAAACATTCTGGCACTTTCACTGAGAATTCTTATCCTGGGCCTCCATTCTCCCTTCATTTAAATCACAATTATAATTGTTGTGGTGTTACACAGCGAAGACAAGAAAACTCCCATAGCCCTTCTGAAAGACATAAATACCTACTCCAATCATCTGAAGATATTAAACATTTAGAGAGATTAAGATCAACCAGACTTCACAATAAGACAAAAACTAGGCATAAAACAAAGCACAAAAGCACAAACATTCAGCATACATCTTAAAAAGTCAGGCATTGATTTAAAGCTGCTTTTCCTGAGAGACAAGCACTATTAAAAGGTATCACAGCCACCAATTTCCTTGTGGATACCAAACATTTTCATTTCCCCAACATTTTCTCTCAAGCTTCAGGGTCAGTGCGAGAGAATATGGACAAGATCTCACGGGTGTAGATACTGCAAGATAATGTAATGCCTCTGGCATCAATTTCCCATAAGCCTGTCCCTTGGTTCTTGCCACCCCCAAATTTGTTTACAGATTTAAATTTTAAATGGAAAGTTGGCATGCTGCCTAACCATTTCCAGTTTCCAGCATCTTCTTTATTCCCACAGGAAGGTGCCTCCAGACCTCACATAGCTGGGCATACTGACCACAGCAGATATTTGTGAATGGGCAGCCCCAGGATGGCCATTTTGGGAAGATTTTCTCTTCCTCTCAACTCTTGTGTTGAGTCTCAACATTCCAAATGTGTCCTCAGCTCAGAAAGACCGGGGTCCTCTCTCCTAGAGGTATTTTGAAGCAGTAAAACATCAGCACTATTTAATAAACCTCAGTCGGCTTCCTTATTGGTTACAAGAATTAACATGCAGCACTTGAGAGGTACAAATAAGGCAGAAAAATATGTTGCCAGTGACACAAATGGTTTTACACTTTTTAACCTGAAATAACAAGCTTTCTCCATTTTTTAAAAAACAACAACATTTAGCTACCGACCTGCTATAAAAGCTGTTCATTTAAGGAAGTAAAAAAGACATGGTGATCTTTACCAAGAGCACAGAATTTATACTTCTGTGAAATGCAACACACAGTTATGAATGTGCTAAATGTGATTTTGAACCAAAATTGGGTTCTTCCATGATATGGTTCCATCAGAACTGTTTCAGAGAGTATAATAGTTTAATATTTTGCTTTATTTAAGAGATTGAAGAAGGCACAAAAATATAAATCAGTTTCCAGTCTAAGGATTCATGCCTACATATAAGGATTCTGGCCATGGGCACTTACTCAACAGATGTCAATCAAATGTTGCATGATGCAACTGCATATAGTCTGTCATCTTAAACCAGTGGTTGTCTAGCTCTGTGTGCATAGTCCCAGTCCAGTGCCTAGCGTGCAGTCATAGGAGACATATGTCCATTAGCTTTCTTTATGCACATTTCTGATCCAACAGGGAATTTTGTACAGAAGCCTACTTCTGCACACCCACCCCATTCACTCGATCAGGTGCAAGGGTCCAGCTTAAATGCATGTAAAACACATAATATTAGACATGTGTCTATCCAGTTTAATGTGATTTCTATGCAACTAGAATAATATTTAAACACAAACGTTTCATACTGTTTAAAGTCTGTTCAATGCCAAATAACCGCAAGAGACACAACTGTGTCATTATGAAAAGGCACTTAGGCTAGCAAATTACACTTGTTGCTCCAGAAGCAGATGATTACCCTTACAAGTTTTGAGTAAAGAGTTGTGTCTTCCACTACAATGAAGGGGCCTCACTATTTTTAAGGAAACAAGCAATATGAAAAAGGGGTACAACTGTTTTCCTAAAATGAACAGGCAATATCTAAGAGAAGTGGGAACAATGTAAGATCTGCCTCTCCCCACTCTAAAGGTTAGAGATGTGAAAGTCTGGGGGGAAAACAGACACTTGGGGAAGGAACTTTAACATACAATTAATAATAAAGCATGTACAATAGGTTACCCTTCATGATTAGAAAGGATAAAAAAACAGAAGTGGCAAGTCCACCCATCTTTCTTATTTTCCTTCCTTACCAACAACACTCTCTTCAAAGCTTTGAGATGAAAGTATGGACTCACCATCAGAGCTATGGAATGACAACAGAAAGAGTTTTTTCACACATAGCCATGTTATAAGTCCAAGGCACAAAAGCAGGTCCTTCCTGACTATGCCTTTAACTTTCTACCTATACAAGTGAATTGAGCCATTTTACTTTAGTTGCAGAAACTATGCTTTATCTAGAACATATCACTGGCTTAAAAGTAAAGCTTAATGGCCACCCTTGAGTGTGGTTAGGTTTTTGTTTAACAACAGGCTATGCACACATACAACCATTTTTGTTGTCTTTCGAAGTAAAATCTCACCAAGTCCCATGAGGTGCATTGCATTTCTCTCAGCTATAATGGTGGGTAAGCCAAACTTGCAATCTCCCATTTTCTTATCCAAGAGTCAGCCCTTTTCCATGTATCCAATAAACCAGAAGAAAAGCTGAATTGTATGAAGTAACATAAGCTAGATACAATGAGGTGCATCATTCAGCTGTAAGTAAGGTCTGACCCTGTTTGTCCTGGTTTTAGTTTGAAGTCTGAAGCCTGTACAGAAGAAATGAATTAAAAGTTTAAAAATAGAGGCTGGAGGCATTAAAGTTCAGGAAAAAAAAAAGGAAAAAGAAAGCCCTTGTTAATAAGAACAGAGTGCAGAAACAACATTTTCTCACAATGAGCTTAGAAGATAGTTTCTTTGCTTTGAAGTAGTGTTTATCAATCTTGGCAACTTTAAGATGTGTGGACTTCACCTCCCAGAATTCGCCAGCCAATATGTGGAATTCTGGGAGTTGAAGTCCACAAAGTTGCCAAGGTTGAAGAATTTAAAGGGAAAGCAGTACAGATTAATGATAAAAGCCTGCAACTGACTTCCTATAACTGCCTGGAAAGAGAGGGGACAATAAAGTAAGCCCAGTTAATTTCAAATCCATATTCAGGATGAATTCCAAAACTTGATGGTTTATTATATCAGCTTATTTCATCTGCTCATTTCAAGACTTTCTTAACAAGGAACTTGAATCAAAATACCACTAGATCAATAACAAACTGAAGGCATTATGTGGTTCTCAAGACTCCAAAAACTACAGATATTAATCTTATTGTTAGGGCATTTGGTTAATAGGAGTATTTTATCCAATGAATTTTCTGTCTTTCCAGAATGAGTTGCAGGAAGGAGGGTGAGACATCGTGATGTAAAGCTGTTCCAAGTCCCAATATACAGACAGGTGGGTCATTTCAGAATGATATGGTAGCCATCGTTACTTTCAGCTGTAAGAAAAGGGAGAAGAAACCTGTCAGGGATTCATTGCAATCTTTGTGTTTTCAATCCTATAAGTATCTACAATTCTACAGTCTGTACTTTCCTCAGATTCTGGTTGCACAACAGGAGACTGTAAAAATGCCATTCTGCAAAATGGTATTGGGAGGGCAACTCAGTGTTAAATTATAGGATGTGTCTTGCTAGAAAATACAAACTATTTCAGTGGAAGGCAAGATATGTACATGTAGATAGAAGATGGCCTATCCTTTCTCTCATCCACAGTAATCAGTCATAAAAAAACAAAATGAAAGATCAGCCTAACCCCAAAGCAGACTTTTGCAGTTTCCCTCCCAGAACACCTACCCAATCCAGCAAGTAGCTTTTTACTAATTTAGGCTGCATTTTGACAGATTCCCATTCATAATGTTCTAAGAATTGTTTAGGACCTCTTAACCCACTGGGAGAAGCAACTGGAAGAACATGATCATTGTTTTTAGAAGAGGGCTCCATAGGTTCCATCTAGCTATCTGTTCATGTTTATAGTTGAATTTTGACCAAAGAACTTAAGAAAAATGCTTATAGCTTTGCTTCTTGCTTCTTGCATCTCTCAGTGTGAGACCCAGAAAAATGACCATGGCAAGAAATGTATGTAGATATACCTTTTAATGTAGAGATGATGAAACAAGATTCATCTTGAAAGTTTTGTACCATCTGGATAAGGAGACAAATGGAAGAGGTTTTTCTTTCTTTCATGATACATTTTTCTATTAAGCTTCATTCAACAAGAAAATGGTTATCAGGTATGGGCTGAAAAGCTCCGGACGAGCTCCAGATGGCAAAAAAGGGTATATTTTTTCATGCCACCTAGTGGTTTTCCAGATGTCTGTGGCTCTAAATAAGGTGCTACTATTTTGAAAAGAAAATCGTGCAGAGATTATCTCAGTATTTCTCAACCTTGACAACTTTAAGCTGTGTGGACCTCAGCTCCCAGAAGTCCCCAGCCAGCACACTGAGAATTGAAGTCCAGACAGCTTAATGTTGCCAAAGTTGAGAAACACTGGATATTAGTATTAGCTAATCAGACTATTAAGGAAGGAGGATTCCCATTCTAACTTGAGAAGTAAAGGGCTAATTCTAATATATTTGCCAGCATGGCATGGTCCCAAGAGCAAACCTTGCAGGACTCTCCATGCTGCTTCCTTATTTTATTGAAAATTGGAGGTTCCTGGAGAATTGATGTTGAGGGATTCACTCACAACATACCAAACCCAAATTAATGCTCAAAAGAGAAAAAAACCCAATTCCTTGATTTAAAGGGCTGCAGGGGGGGGGGTGTTATGTGTTAGATTCAAATATCTGTTACTATAAATCTGAATTTAAATCATTAAATTCTGTCTTTTGTGTCAATTTACCTAATGATAATTGAGTGTTTATGTTATTTACTTCATTTCAAATGATGTCAATTGACACAAATTAGGTACAAACATCAAGTGATATCACAAGTGCAAAGGACAGCATAGACAGGCTTCAGAAAGAATGGATTTGTGCATTATTTCTGAGGTAAAACCTGAACTTAATCTGTAGCACCTGAAGCCTGTTTAAATGGAAGAGTTGAGCTTTACTCTATGTTATATACACATAAAACATTTTAAACTAAATAACTACCATGAGACAGTATGGCTGTGCAAAGTATTCAGAAGAAGTGCTTTGTAGACCACATTAGCATGAAGAGCATTATCATGCCTTCAGAGCATTAAAGTCATCATGTCCTTTGCCAGGGCTGTGCAACTCCTTCAAAAGCTGACCTGGCACGTGTTTGCACAGCCACTTTGTTTCTTTCACAGTCTCGGCAAAAATGCCCATGTATGCCTCTGCAGATAACCAAGAACGCGGTTATCGTTGGTAGAACTCTACAAGTCTTGCAAAGCACACAACTGCTGTAACGGTTTGAAGAGAGATGTTTTGTACTACTCATATACTTTGCAAAGCATCTGTTTTGAATATCTCGCACAGCCTTATAAAACAGTTCACCAAATGGACAAGGTTGGGAAGTAGAAATGTGTCAGACTCAGTGCATACTTTGAAACATATTATTATTTCAGCAATACAGTTAGTTACAAGTAGTAGATAGCAATTTTTTGGTTCTCCTAAGAAGTTGGACTCTGAGAGTTGAGAAGGAAACTATGGCAAATAGCCTCACCTAGGATACTAGATTTTTATGGCATAATTTTCATTATTTGTGAACTCCAACTTCAGGCTTTACCTATTTGTCTTTGGTTTCCCTCCACCCTTCCTTTTATCATACACAAAAGTACCCATGTAGGAGAAAAAAAGTTGAAATTTCCATTGCAGGAATCTTCTTTGGGCTGTAAAAATCACATAACACAACAACAACCACTACTACCATTACACATATATACACACAAACACCATTCTGGAGATACAAAAGGAAGCACATCTGTTTTAGGTCTTGAAAATAAAACTTTCCAATACAATATACTAACATTGTTTAATGGCATGATGCCCAAGTACTGAAATGTACAAGTTGATTGTAAATGTTTACAGACATCAGTACAATTAGCACTTAACCTTTCTAGGCATTTGTTCAGATTGCAAGGTGTTGTAGAGCTCATAGGTGACAGTAGGATCTATCTCCATTTCCCTATTACAGTTCTCACAGGCATTTAAAATTTCTTCTTTCCCACTCATTTTCCAAATATTGAAATATTCACCAAAATTAAGGTCAAGGCTACCAACAAATACATGCACAAATCATGCATGAAGAACAACTACTGTAGTTGGTGCCTTGCATTTACATCCCTGCTGCTGCCCTGCCACTAGAACACAAAAATAAGGCAATAGCAGTTGTTAATCAGTAACCTAAATATTTAATGAAAATCTTTTTGCACCAAAGCTAGTCCAGGCAATTCCACTTTCCAAATGCTGCCTTAAAGCACTTCATGACTATTCAAACGTTACAAGTTTCTGATTCATCACGGTGAAACAGTGGAGCCACTTTCAGAACAAACATTACAGGCTTGATCCATAACTGCATGGGAATTTTGTGCTTTGCTATAACTCCAGTCCAGAGGTCAAATACAATGAAACTTCTTAAGTGATTCTGAAGCATGAAACAGGCTACTCAGAAAAAGCTGTAATATTTGCCATGTAAATACAGAGTATAATGAAGTGAGATATATTTAGAAGTAGTTAGAAGAAAGCAGCTGGATTCCTTTCCCCCATTTGCCCCAAAGCAAATGTTGCCTCTAAGAAAATTCATGGTTATCAGGGCTGATATCAGTTACTTTTACCAAAATATCCTGCATTTTTATATCTTTTAGTGTTCATATACTGCTGTCTAGGAACACCTGTATCCTTTTCTTTACCCTGTCTATTAGAAGAGTCAAAATCTATCTGCTATAGATTTTGCAGTTGAAATCAATTTCTAAAATGTAAATTGATGGTCTGACTTGCCTTATTTATTACTCATAACTATATTTAAACCTATTTATGTAATAATATTTGTGATATAACTACAAACTACAGGTTTGAAGACTGACTGAGCAGTTCAAACTAACAAGATTCTTTAAAAATTATTTGCTTTAAAATTTGCCTCCAAAGGCATCAACCTATTAAGTGTTGATCATGGATTTCAGATTCCAAAGCTAAGAACATGCCCATGCTTTATATAAGTTATGACACTGAGGGAAATTACTGACTACAAAATTAACAGAACTTTAAAAAAGAGTCATATGACAATATTAATATGAGTAGGTAAAGAGTTGAATTTCTACTATTTTTTCCAGTTATACAAGAGAAAAGGTAATGGCAAATGTTACTACCCTGATTTCATATTAGGTCACAAAAATCCACTCCTGTCTTATTCCAAACTTTTGTCATTTCAGTCATTAACTGGGGGTGGGGGGTGACTTTATGCTACTGCTCTTAAACAAGCGAAAGTCAAAATTCCTTACTAGTCTACTGCAAATTATCACAACTGTTACTAGATTTCCCCACCCATGCCTTAATTATCTTTCAGTACTTGCCTTTTTTAGGCAAGAGAAAAATTAGGCAATTTTTGGTAATATTGTCTTATCTGTCTATTTATTTGCAGGGCATACTAACTGAATTCTCATCTGTTGATTATACTCACTTTAGTCCCATACAAATTCTACCAGAAATTTCTGATTTTAAATATTTCAAGGGTCAAGACACTGTAATTGGTGGACTTTAAAAAAAACAAGTTGTAGAGTGATCAAGACATTTTAGTATTTTGAAGCTAAGCAATTTGAAAGGAACATATAATCTAGAATGAACAAATAAGTCAATGGTGAACATCAAAACCCAGTATCACATGGAAAATATTCTAGTTAAAACTCTTACCTCATTGCTCACTAATACATGGATCCCTGTAGGTCCCTGCCGATAGATCCGGTTTATCTGCTGTGGGGAAATACTGTACAAGTTTGCAATCTTCTCCATCAATTCCAGTGTTGTTAACTCTTCTAAGAAGATAGCATGGTATACTGCAATAGTATTGGGGAAAGAGCAACTTTCAGTTTTTACAACACTAGGACAGGAGAGGACATACTGGCAACTTGCAGATGACATGTGATTATGTGAGACCCCTTTTTTGTTACATGGAAATTGCAGCACCAAATTTTAGCTGCCTAGTTTTTCTGTATATTTTTGGTGGGACGTTTAACACACCTATAAAAGTTGTGGGAGAAGAGGGAATCGGGCCAAATACCACAGAATTGTTGCTGGTTATATCACTGCTATGCCTTCTGCAACTCTTGCTTACCAAAACAAAAAACAAAAAAACAAAAACACACACCTAACAACAAACCAGAAAACTTTGCTGCCACTGTCAAGATGACATATATACAATTTAAGACAGAATCTTAAGCTAATGAGCTTAATCTCTTCTCTTGTTTGCCTTCATCTCTTGTTTATCTCAATACGCACCAAGAAACCAAGGCTAAGAACAAAAGGCATTTCAAATTTAAGCTTACCTCTTGTTTTAAGTTCACGCTGATAACAGAAGAAAACCATTCAGACTGCCTTAACAGATTGAATGCATTTTAAAATCTGCACACAATTAAACTGTCTATTTTAACATAATTGTAAAGGTTACAGAGTAGTATTGTTGTCCTAGCTAATGCAGCTAACTGCTCCAGGTCAACACATTACTTGAACAAGATCAGCCCATAAATTATTTATAGTGTATCTTAGGGGACATGTTATTTGCATTTCATATGATGCAAAGTACCTCTCCTATATTTCATTCATTTAAAACTTGACCAAGAGAGTTGAAAATCATGCTGATTAACACACATCTTTTCAAAGGCTTTGCAGGTGGCAGACAAGAAATTTTTTGATGCCATATGTCTTCCAGGGATAGCCAAAATCCTCTCTTGAAGCTAAATTTCTTAGAGCCCCCTGTCTGCTTCAAAAGATAATTAATGGATTGCAAGCCCATCTCTAGCCCTCAGAAAGTGGTCCTGTAGATATGGTAAAATACTGATTACTATATCTATCTTACACTCTCCAAACACCTAACTCCTTGGAAGTATCTGCCTGCCTTTTGGGCTGAATATTTAAGCCCCAAAACCAACTCATCTACTTTGCAAGGAGACTGAGAAATGGGAAGAATCTTTTCATTATCTGAGGAGGGAGGGGACACTATGGAAATTTATCTTAATTATGACTAGGGGTAAGATTAAGGATGTGCCTCCACCACAGTATCTGGTTCAGATCCTGATTTGGTGATTTGCCACATACTGTTTTGGAGGCCATTTAATTCATTTCAGAACTGGATTAACATTATAGACAGAATCCTCCTAATGAAGACATGATGCCTGACAAATTTCAGATCAATAGGGATCAGTTAGATATATTTAGATTTTTTTAAGGAAGCTTTCGTAGTTTCTTAGCAGAATTTGAAGGCATGTTTGTTTCTTCTGCATGAATGTCAAGTCTCCCAAGCTTCCAAAAGATAGTTATAACTATTTTTGTAGAAGGTGAGTCTTCAAATTTGGGAGTTCAGTGGAGATAATTTGCTTTCCTTTGAGGGTGGATGGCAATTTATGGTCATGGCATATATCACAGCAGTGTTCATAGATAAAATTCTGACAAATTTCAGATATTATAGGGGCAATGGATGTATGATAAACAAAAAACATTTTCACAGATTTTTTTTTCTTTACATGCTTTTGATCATGGGAAGTGCAATAGAGCAGAAGGAAGATATGAAGCAACTAGTGGCAAGGACTGTAATTGGAAAGCTCTGATAAAACCACTCGCTGTGATTAGAACCTAAAGCTGTCACTCAAAAATTACAACTCCCATCATTCCACCTTGGAATTTTCCTTATTCAAGAGTTTCTGGATTATTGTATTAATTTTTATAAAAACACTGTATCTGTGCTATGGAATCACTATACAAAACTTCAGGAGAGCTCAAGTTCTACATATGATCCATTTTGGAGAACCTCTGGACATGTCCTGAATCTTCCAGAATGCATCGAATAGGAGTTCTCTGAATCTAATGCAAATGCTAGATTTATATGTATTATAAAAGTAGTTGAAGCTTCTTAAATTTTATGAAACACATAATAAAGCTCTGAAAAGGCTTCAGATTCTGCCCAAATGACACTTACTACAAAGATTACCATCTCCATTCTCTCGTTTTTGATGAAGATGAGACCGATTTTGCTCAGGTTCTTGACAGACATAAATGGTCATCTTAGGTCTTACATTTCTATGGGCAAAACAAAGTTTTCTGTTCAGTTTTGGCATTTTAAGCAGACATACAGTTCTCCAGCCTTAATCAACGACTTTAACATGACTGCCCAAGGATATGATCAGTATGACTTCTGATCACTGTATAGAAAGCCAATGAAATTAAACAGTTTGGTGTTTATGGTGAAGGTGGGGGGGGGGGGGGACATCACCTATGATGCTTACCAGCAGCAGTAGTAATCACTGATGATGCAAAGTTACAATATTAAATTTGGGCCTCTATCTTCCACAGTATTCACATATCTCAATCCACAATAACTGGTGTAGGAACAAGAACTGTAACAAACCTTCCTTTAACTGCATTAAAAAGTCGAATGCCATCAGCCGGGCCACAAATCTGAACAAAGTCTTCTTTGGACATCTTCAGTAAGTCGGCACCTATACATTTCAAGCAAAGGTGATTTCCTTTTTCCTTCCAAGAGCATATCTTAAGAATACAGATCCACCTTTTACAGATGTGTTATGACAGATACTTGCTGACTATACATTCTAATTAGAAAGCAGGGAGGACACAGACAGAAAAGGAGGAGTTTTGCACATAATCATCAGAAAGCTATTGTATACAAATATCCATAGTTAACTACTCTGCAGAATACATGAACTATCCAAAGTACAGGCTTATCCCTGTTAAGCGTACATTAAACACACATACCTGAGAAACTTGAAAATAGTCTACAGAACTGAGAAAACCTATTTCGATGAAGCCACTGCTGAGCATCTTGAATAGAAGCAGAGGGAAGGAGATGCTACATTGCAAAAAGAATAAGAGGGTCTTGAAATGAACTGTTCATCAGTGTCCTAAAAAAGAAAAGCACCACATTAACATGATCTCAAATACTTACATCATTGCCGGGAGGCAGGAGCTCCACCTGATGAGTTGGAGAACTGTTGCTAAAAAACGTATAGAGTTGAGAAAAAAGAAAGTATTTTTAAATCTCTCATTAATAATGTTGGCCACTCCCCCCACCTCCATCATACAATCTGGTTGACATATTAAAACATTTAAAATGAATTTTCTTTATTCAATTTTTTCTAAATTTGAGCCATGTGTAAATGCAAAGACACTTGCTCCTGGTTTGAATAAGATCTGCTTGAGTCTTATCAAGCATCTGCACTGGTTAATGTCCACAATAAAGTTTTAAAATAAAATATCAAGCATCTAAACTGCATCTTGGTTTTTTAAATCAATATGTCCTTACTTGGAGCTGAATCTCATTCAAGTGGTGGAAAAAGCTTTGGCATGGGCCAGGTCTCTTCCTTCAAAGGTTGCCATCTAGCAGGTCTTACAAACCATGCCTTTTCCATAGCAGCCCCTACTCTGTGGAACACCTTTCCCTTGGGATCTAGCAGTCCCCTCTCCCTTTTTTGGCTTTCCAGAAGGCTGTAAAAAGCTGACTCTTCCTACAAGCATTGAGATAGGATGAGGTTGGAGCCCAGGGCCTGTATTTGGTGATGTATTGGAGAATGTCAGGTTCTGTTACAGTTTTTTGGGTTTTAGTATTGTTGCGAGCTGCCCAGAGTTGTGGTTCATAAGATGGGTGGCCATATTAAATAGATAGGTAGATAGATAGATAGATAGATAGATAGATAGATAGATAGATAGATAGATAGATAGATAACCATTACCATTACCATTACCATTACCATTGTAGATTACTATTCTAGCAAGGTTTGCTCACATTTATTTATGATGACCAGATCTTGAGATCCAGGGGTGGTATATGGATCAGACTAAGACTGAGGGGAATATGTCCACATCTTCACTTAGCCTTAAAGCTTGCTATAGAACTAAGCGAATCACCATCTCTCAGCCCAACATATCTCACAAGATTGTTATAAAGCTAAAATGGGGGGCGTGGATATTGCATATTGTATCTTGAGGTTCTTGAAGAAAGAATGGACATATATATCTAAAATAAAACTTCACCCTGTCTCCTCGCTAACAGTGGGAAAAATTCATCCAAAAACTCTCTGACATGCATACTCTCTTACGTACATAGCTTTCAAATAAAGCAGAGTTGTGCAAGAGCTCAGCTGCGGAGGAATGGATCTTGCAATCTCAGTTCATCAACATTAAGCTGGGCCTGAAAGCCAGGTTAAGCTTCCTAATCTTTTACATTCGGAAGTGTTTAGAACACACAACCATAAAATCTCAAAATTGGGGTGCCTCTGTCAGCAGAAAAGATAAAAATATTTATCACGTACCCATCTCCAAGGCTGAAGCTGTTTGGAGAGCTGTTGTAATTTGGAGACGGAGCGTTGTTCACTTGATAAGGTACATCTGGCCACGGGGAACACTGTTTAAACAAAACCAATTTGCTGAGAAAGAAAATCAGAAAATGCAATCTCATTCTATTTCAAAACTAACTATTATTGCATCATCAGTAGTAAAAAACATATTTATCATCACCTAGATACGTACTCTGACTTTGAAATTTTCTAATTTCCAATGGTAATCACATAAGCACTGGAATTCAAGCAACTACTCAAATGTTAAGAATAAGCAGGGAATTAACCTAAAATTAGTCTTCTTAGCATTGTAGCTTTGTACATGGTGGAAACATACAAACAAAAAAACCTACTTGAATTGTATGTTCAATAGGAAAAAGGCCTGCCAATTTATAGAAGCCAACACAGAATACAATACATTGCAACCCCTTTTTACTATATACAACCATGTCATTTTTTTAAAAAAATGTACAAAATGAGTCTTACAAGAAAGCTAATCCAAATCTATCCACTCCCTTTTTATGCAGAAATCATTTTAATCCTATGCTTAAATTATTATGTACTATTATATAATTAAATTCTTAGCAAAATCTAATGTTGTAGGAGTAGATGCTTGTGCAGCTGAATGTTCCCTCTTTCTCCTCCACCCCCATCTCCCTCCAGCTGTGCTTCTGAAATATGCTTTAGAAATTCCCATACTATTGGGAGCAGAATTATGGGTTTGCTAGTGGCTGTATGGGCTGCCACAACTGTGCCAGTTAAAAGGACTTCACCATTCATTTTCAGTGATACAAGAGGCAACCTGTGCATAGCCTTAACATCTTTCTTCACGGTAAATACACACATTAGCAAATATTTAACTTTTCTGAAACAGGGACTATTTGACTTCCTGTTTCAAGGTGCTAAAGGTCATTCTCATCAACAGCAGGCCACCTTAATCTAGTAGTTCTTTAAAACTAGGTCACTTTCCATGCAGAGGTCTCACTGCCCTGAACTATTAGGACACATAATATAGCTGGCTAAATGACACAGACAGACATAAAAGGTTCTATGAATGAAACAGCAAATTTGTTTCAGCTCTTCTTTAAACATTAACTTTACCCTACTTTTTCAATAGTTGTTTAATCTGGGTCTTGCAGCAACCTGAACTTTAAGACTAAAATGTCAAAATCCAATTAAGTCTCAAAAGAAGAATGAGACCAAAACTTCTCTGCAGACACAGAAAACAGCTGCATATTGATTTAATTTTACTTTTGTGTGTTTAGATTGCCCAATAATGAAATGAAATGAAATAAACTACACAAATAAAACATAAAATCTAAAATGAATTAGAAGAGTTGAAGAAAAAAAATCTTGAAGATAGAAATAAGCAGAAGATAACGCAGTAAGATCCGAAAATTATTTTTAAAAGATTTAAAAACCTGAGATCATCAGAAGACCTTCACTGTGTGCTGAAAAAACCATAACATATATATCAGTAAACCTCTCTAGGGAAGTCATTCTATAATCTGGATGTCCCCATTGTTAGGGCTCTGCTTCTAGTAGCAATCCCCCTCATTCAGTGGGGTGTTCATCAAGAGGATTGTGTTCTTTCTCCGGCACAACAGCACAGCCATTCTCCTTCTGTACACTCAGCCTGGCACACTGTAAGTATCATTCTGAGGGGATCTGCAGAATTATGCATTTTGAGATTACAGCACAATTGCACACGTAGCCTTAGGTGCAAAAAGGTGGTGGTGGTGGTGGTGAAGATGATGATGATGATGATTCAGGTGGCAAGTTGGAAGGGGAGTGGGTGGAAGTTTGACCTCAATTCATTGCCAAAAGCGGCTTCTTCACTGCATCTAATGGTAGGGCCAGTCCTGTGGATTTCAGAAAATTACCTTAGTATCCACATGGGGACAGTTCAAGTAACCTGACTCCAACTGGCTTAGAAAGTTAATATTAGCTAGCCTGATACTTCACGATCCAGTAGAACCTCCTTTTCAGCTCTTTCGAATGTTAGGAAGCATCATGACTGTTTATAGCGCTTTAGGATGTATCAGTTTTGAATTCAGGTCAAGCGGGTCATGCTGAGCACCACCAAAACTAAGAAAGCAACAGTGCCCTGTTACAGACTTTAGCCCAATGTATCATTTTACTTCAGAAATGAACACTCTACAATATTGCCTTCTATACATATAAACTATGCAGTCTCTTGCATGCAATAACCATAAAACACTGCAACTCTAGGACAGTGGTACCTCAGTGAGAATGGTTGTATCATAGGAAGGCTGATATTTCTCCCTTTCTTGAGTGGTTTTCTTCTCCATTTTTTCTCTGTCTGTTTTCTGCTTCCTATCTGCTCCTTTAGGCTATAAAAGCACATACAAGATTTAGTTTATCTTAAGCCAAGGACTGTTAAACAGAAAGTGCAGATGGTTTTCTTGATAGCTGAAAAAAGTGACATTGAGGCATAATTTAATGGACATTCTTCACTTGTGTGTATTTGCCATGAGGTACAGAACCGAAAATTATTTTTGCAAAGCTGGCATGGGGAATCTCTTCCAGGTGTTGCTGAACTACAGTTCCTGCCTGATACGGTTTGGGTGAGAAATGCTGGTAGTTCAGCAACATATAGAAAGTGCTACGGTTTCTCCACCCCCAGTGCAGAATACTTTCCATTAGCAATGGTATCAGGTTGTCCTAGTATTTAGGACAAATCCAGCTTTTCTTCTACAAACCTCAGTGATTAGCCACTCAACGAACCTAGAAGGCTCACAGATACTGCGATATTAAATGCCATCAAGTGAACTTAATGGCAGAGAGGATCCTATTTTTATTGGCAAACTGCCTTTTATAATTTTAAATTTATTACATATAAAGCAGGATCCCCCAAAAGTGTCTATATCCCACTCTCCATTCCAAAAATCAAACATACATAGAGACCCACACACACATACACACAGATAACCTTTGATAAGACAGTGCCCCAAAGCACATGCCCGCCATCTTTCAGAGGAGCATAATCTATTATGTTAATTACTGCTGGCTAATATTCCAATTTGCTCAGTGATAGTTAGGATTTAATCTTGTTTCTAGTTTTTAACATATATTACTCTGGGAATTGGTCCAGAAGGGGGATGCAGAACATGGAGTCACACAGTAATGAGCACATAAATACAGGAAGGAATAGGCCAAGTCACATGAGCCAAGCTTCTTCATATAAATGCACAAATTATAGGGGACAAACAGGGAGAACTAGGAGTCTAAATGCAAATACAATTTAGTCAGCATTACAGAAATCTGGTAGGATGAAACTCATGAGTGGAATGTAGGGGTTGAATGATATAACTTATCCAAAACTAATACGCCAAACAAAAGTCGAGGAAGAGTAGCCTCATATGTGTAAAGTGCACACATGTGCTGATATACAGGATTTTCAGCATGAGTGTCTATTTGGGAGGACTTTGTAAGAATACAAGGAAGGGGAAACAGTGAAAATAGTATTATAATGGGGTGCTATAGACCACCAAGACAGTCAGAACCGGATAATCCCTCTTGGACAGCTTACAGAACTTGCAGGGAGAAGAACCATAGTGATCATACAAGACCTCAACCATCTGGAAAACTGTGGAAACCAACTGGGTCAGCACTGCAAGGTCTTCAAAATTGGGCTTGCTGACTGTTTCATTTTCCAGACAAGAGAAAAGGAGACAGGCTTTCCTATATCTGATCCTAACCATTTGAGAGTGCTTACCAAAGAGGTAAAAGCAATGGGAACTTTGGGAAAAAGTGACCATGTCTCCTGAAGTTCAAGTTATATCAAAAACAGAAACGGAAGCAGTCATTTATGCACCCTAGATTTCAGGAGAGCCAATTTACACAGAATTAAAGAAGTACTAGGCAGGATCCCATGAATGAAATCCTTATGTGCAGGTTGGGAACTTTTCAAAAATAAGATATTGGAAGTACAGTTGTATCCCATTCTAATGAGAAAAAATGGAAGGTGAATTGGAAACAGTTCTGGATGTGTAGGGAGCTTTTCAATGAACTAAGAGTTGAAAGGAGCATATAGAGGAAACTGAAGATGGGTGTATTCATCAAGATGTGTAACAGCATCTAGCTAATATCTACTGAAAGAAAGTTAAAAAGGATAAAGCACAAAAGGAAACTCAGGCTCATAAGTGAACTTAAAAGCAACCAAAACCTTTTTTTGGCTATAGCAGTAGTAAAAGGAAAAAATGGAAGTGTGGGCCTGCTGTTAGGAGAAGATGATATGATAGCAACAGGTGATAGGAAGAGGGCAGATTTATTTTACTTTGCTCAGCCTTCTCCCCAAAGGGGATCTATTTGCAAATGGACCTAAGCAGAATAAGTGACAAAAGGAGGGAATTACCACCAAGGGAAACTAAAGAGATGGTTAAAAATTAATGAAAAATCTAATATGTGATATGTGATATCTGTCATTTTCACTGAATAGTCTCTCCCCACCCCCAATTGTGCCAATTTAAGCTACATACTTCTTTCTCTTTCTAAGACTCTACAGATCCCCTCGTATCTGTCCAACCATCCTCTCTTCAAGAAGGATGAAGGAGAAGAAAAAAAGAAACATAATTTGTAGCTCCTCCTGATGGCACAAAATGAATGGAAGTCAGATTAGCCACATACCTTAAATACTTTGATCTGGCAGCTTGCAGAATGCAAGTGTTCTGTATACTCGCCGTTTTCATTCTGTTTAAATGTATCCATTTGTATTCGGAACGGTACCCCTTTCTCCCCTCCATGTTTCCTTGGAGTAAATTCCGTACTAATACAGTGTACCTAGCCAAAAGAGACATGCTTAGCATTCATGTCCTAAATCATGCTGTTTGAGATTTGGGGATTTTTTATAATAGAAATATTTGACAAGCCCCATGTGGGAAAGCTGAACCAATAATGTAACCTACTGCTTAGCTATGGGAAAGGAATCAGTATTACCCAAATTACATTCTCCTTATCATCAGCTCTTCTCCAAAGTAGCTATTTCCTTCTACCAAACATTAAAAAATGAACAGGATAACATTTGCCCTATCATTATCTGTCTGATGGCTAGATAATGCCAAAAGTATTAATAATTAAAAGTCCACTGGTAGTTTGGACATTACTTCAGTATTGCTAACTGAATGCAGATATTGTTATGTTCAGGTGTTAGGGCTTCTTTTAATACTTAGAAAAAAGTTGGCTAAACATTTTTTAAAAATTTGTCTGACTCACTCTTTATTCACTCTTTATCACTCCAGAGATACCCTTAAGCCCTCAACATTAAAGAAAAAAGTATTTTACTCCTCTGCTTGCAGAAAAATGAAAATTATGTAATCTCACAATAATTGGAATATAAAGGGCATAATATCGCCTATTTGTATCTTTCATTAGTTGAACTGAATTTTTTGATAAAGTTAGTGTTATATGTAAACTATGATTGAATGTTGAGATATATTGTTCTGGGCTGTTATCTTGTACTCTTGTTTCTTTCTTGCCTTACAGAATATTAAAAGAAAAAAAAATCAATTGAATGTATTGTGGCATATATGTAGTATGTGCTCCTGAGGTCAGCAAGACGGTACCTGCTCTCAAATCTTTGCATGTCAGGCAATTTTCCTTCTGTGCAAGTGAATGAAGCTATGTAGGCTTTGGTGGAAATGGTGAAATAAGACAAGAAGGGGACTTTGTGTATTTTGGCACCATATCAGCTGCCTGAGGACAATAAGCAGTCACATCCGGCTCTCAGCCAACCTGCAGCTCTCTCGCCATCATGCCACTGGTGTGCAGGCTGGAGAAATGTCTGTGCTTCAGGGAGCCCATCCATTCTCCCACCTCTGAAGCTCTATCACCTCTTCTGCCCTCCAACCTGGCACAGTCAACCAAGTGGCCTCCTCTGCACTGCCACCATCTGGATGCTTAGCTGATAAAGATAATTTATAGTCCCAAAGGGGATTCGTGCCACTGTAATTTGGAGCCCAAGTTAAAAACTATACTTACTGTAATGGAAAGAAAGGTGGATTGGGGAGGAATCCATTTTTAAACATAATTTAAGGGCGATCTGTCATGCCCATTTAATAAACAGCCATGTGTTTAGAAGTGTAATTTTATGAGCAATCTCATTTTTATAGCAGCCATTTGAGTGCTACCATTCCTCAAATTCCAGACTCTGCACACAAGCCCCCAAAGGTTGAATGTTGCTGTTAAATGCACTGTATATTCCTATCTTCTCACAATTTATTATCAATATGCAGATTCCAACCTCATTTTAAATTATATAGAATTACTTCTTTCTGCTTTGGCATGCTTTCTAGGCAACACGGAAAGAAATACCAATTAAAGTTAAAAGGAGGTTGAACTAAAATTCTGCACCCAGATTCTCAATTCCATATATTCTCAACCAAATATGTCCCAAAGAACATGAAAGAATAATGCTCTCTATTGACCTGAGATAAAATGTATTCCGCTTATGGGGCATTTTCTTTCCTTACCTGAATAAATGCAGATGCTCTCTTAGATGGATCCCACAGAAATTCAACTGTATTCAACTGCGTGGGACTTGCTCTGGGATCTAAGATACCAACTGACAGTGGGATATCTGTAGAAGAAAACCCCTAAAATATTAAAAAAATTAAAATTGAAGAGCAGAAACATTGCAATACAATCACCAGATGCATTTGAAAGACCAGCCTGACCAGAATCACTACTAGCTGCAGAGTAAGAAACTTGGTCTTAGAGTTTCCATCTGAATGGGACTCCTGGAGTCGTATTTCACAATCCTGGAGAGCTAAAGTTTTCCCACCCTATTTATACCTCTTCTGGCTTTCATTGTACAGATATTTCTAAAGAGTTTGTTTATATTATCAGCAAAAGTGGATGTGGTTATATACAAGCTGCTTTTCTAACAGCTTTACCTAAAAGGTGGGGAATAAATATATTAATGGAAAAAGATAAATACAATTTATTATATGAACGAAATGAAATCTAACAAATGAATGAAATGAATGAAATCTAACACAAACAAAACATTGTTGGTTACTTCAAGACACCAGCTCTTATCCAATTTGTAAGTGTCATTATACTTTTTACAAAGGATACTTTATACCCGTTGTATTTTACAGGTAAGTCATACATCCAAGAAGGAAGGAGCAGATATCATAATGAAAAGTTCTCACCTATGTCAAGGATGCGGTCTCCAGGCCGACTCCATCTCCAGCCTTCTAGCTGTTGGTGCTCAGTATACTGCAAGCGCCGATCATGAAAAACTACCCGAATAATGCTCTGTAGAGAGAGAAGTGGATGAAATAATAAAGGAAGCTAGATGCATACATTTTAAAAAAGTACGATTCTAATTCTAAAACAAAACTGATAAATTGCAATGCGTATTTTATTTAAGGGGATGCGCAAAAATCACCCATCACCATACAAAATAATATTTTAATTAAAATAAAATAAAATTTCTATTCAGAAAATATTGACAACCAGACATCTGGGATCTGGAAAACTCTATTGTTTAGTGCTATGGTATCTTGTCATGTGGTATCCATAGCAGATAGCTAGATCTCATATCCCACTTCGTAAGTCATATCTTACTGTCACTACTTATTTTGAACAAACCCTTGAAAGAACTAAACATCAAGAAAGTGGAATATTTGGAGAAAGTTTGAGTAATAGAATGGAAATCAGTATTCTGAAATCTTCAGGAACTGCCACAAGATAAAAGCAAGCAGCTTTTGTAATATGGGATGTTAATTATTCCTCTTTATTTAATCAGACCATTTATTAAGGGAGAAGAACTTAGAAGTTAAGATTTATATCCAAATGAAGAGACCAAGAGAGATCCAAAACAATCTGTGTTCTAGATATTGATTTTCATGTTATGAACGGTAGCCTTGCATGCATGTTATAAACTAGATGCATTGAGGATCGAATGGCATTTTGTAGGTTGTGCCTCTGATTGCAAAGTGGCCTGTTAAATTTCTAGCACGATTCATGAAGTTTATGTACATTTGTTTGGGCAGAGTAGAAATATGCAGTCATTTTATTACATGTTTGGATTCCAAAATACAATATATAAACAAACATTGAATTCTTAAGTGACAGAGAAACTCCCAATTATAATAATAAATTGTTCTCAAGTCATAAATTCACTGGCCTGGTGTCCTGACCAAGTAGTCAGCAAACTTTCTGTTACCATACACTGGGACAAACATGGCAAACTCTGGATGTTCTCAAAGACCACCCTTTATAGACCAACATTTTGACTGGCAGCAGTGGTGCAAAGACAGTCATTGCCTTGGTAAATCATGGTTTGTATTTACCTGCAATAAAAAAGTCAGTACCCCTTGATTTTATCTTTAATAGATGTTGCACTATTGCAAATAAGGGAGCAATCAGGAAATGTAGATGCTATTTCAGTCCAAAATATGTTTAACTTTGTGACCACAGGACGAAAAGTCTACATCAGTCGTTTTCAAACGGTATTTATTCCTAGGGATTCCTCAAACAGTGTTCATAGGGGATTCTTCAAAAAGAACCATGAGGTATTCAATGTTCCTTTAAAATGATTTATGCATCATGAACAATAACGTAGAATCCAAAGGAATCCTGGATTCATTCAGGTTCCTGGGGCCCAACAGACTAGATTAACAGTGTGTCATGTACAAAAACTGCATCTAGAACTGATTGTGGAATATTCTAACATGCAAAGGGAATCTGGCAGAAAGGCACAGATTAAATACTTCCAGATAATGTATGAAGATAGTAGCTGGGGAATTTAGAAAACCTCTGGCTTACACAAAGCCCTGAAGTTCCAATTAATCAGGAAACAGAGCAACCACTATGGCCCTTTTACCCTTAAAGTATTTTCCAGCAGCATAATCTATATCCAGTAGCGTGCCTATATGTGGCAGCAGGAAGAAAATATCCTTACCTTTACATATTTTGTGTTTAAATCTTGAAACTCTCCCAATTTCCTATTCTCAAGTAGACGGATTTCATATGACTGACCTAGGAGTTCAAGGAAACATTTCCAAGTTGTTTAAGCATGTTGCAGCAAGAATAGCAAGAGACAGTTGCACCAGCATCAATCATGCTTGGGAGAGGTGTTTTGGTGTGGGGTTTTTTTTTTTTTTTGGACAATTTTCTCCTAATAAATGGTCAGACATTATTGCAACTTCTCCCTAATTAAAATATTGTGTTTTTGGTTACATCAATGATGTGGATATTCCAAAAATTTAGAACCTTCTAATTACTTCCAAGAGAACTTGAAGCATATTACATGGTCTAATTGTCATGTAATCATTTGGAAGAAGTCTTCTTAAACAGCTACATCCTTCAAACCAGCTGCAGCTCCAAGAATACACAAGCTTAGGAAAATTTTCTATAATTGTTTCACCAATATGTGTTTTTTCACTGTATTGTACCATCAGAGTGAGATATTCTACCATTTAAATCCACAGAATTTGACAAATGGATCTTTGCCTCAGGAATTATCAATAGAGGTTACTACTATAACTACTGAGACGAATCCTAAAATAAGGGAATAAGCCCCACTGGGCACTTCTGAGTAACCATTCATACATTTGCACTGTTAACATTTTCAAAAGCCAGAAATGTTTTTGCTAACTAAAAATAGATGGATAGTAGTTACTAAACACTCCAGAGAATTCAAATAATGACCTAAAACTGTTTTTCATACATTGCTGCAATTAAAGAGCAGCTATAACGATGGAATTAGTCTGTCTCTTCTCTTTCTGGGTTATTTACTAGTTTTCTGAGGATCACACGTATGAGCACCCAATGACAAGATCAGATCTTTAAATGGTTCCTAGTAGCGTAACTATGTATCATAAAACTTCTCAGCATGAAAATGAGCAGGTATGTTTTTAGTAAATAACAATGACTTTTCATTAATTCTAGAAATAGCTTTGAACATTTGTTTTGTTTTAGACTTGTCAGATGTTGCTATTAGAAACACAGTTAAATCTGGTCAATAGTCTTTCAAAATGGTACAAAACTACTACAATTAATTGTAAGAGTTCAATGCAATATAAGACCTCACATAAATTAAATCTGTTCTTCTATCATCAAAGTAAGAAATTGGCATGTATTTCCATGAATATAAGCCTTATCAGAAATATAAATGTATTTATTTTGGATATAATAAAGTTTGTTTGGTAACCAAATGTTGGGAACAAGAACAAAATTATAAATACAATAAAATAAGAAACAGACACACAGAAACTGGTTTTTCAAGTTCCTCTTGTAATCACTTCCCCTCCTTGCACAAGAATGCAGTTCAATGTATAACAAGGCAATCTAAAATGATAATCAGTATGACTTCTGGTTTGACCAGTGAAATTGATCTTCTAAAGAAAATTGTATCTTTCCCTTCTGGGAGAAGATAAAAATGCTACATTTCTGGAACTTTGTCCAGAAAAAATAGATTGTTTAAGGTTACCCAAGTACTGTAAACACTTTACACCAAAGTTCAAGTGATATGGGACCATGAGAACTATGGCATTAGCTATGGCTGTATGAAGAGCTCAAGAATAAGATGAAACTCTCTGAAAGAAAAGCAAACAAAAACCCAACAAAAACCACTATAATCATTAGTTTATAGAATAGATCTTCCGTGTAACTCCATACACTTTATTAAGATTATCAAGAATAAAAAGAGATTCACTACAGAACACTTTAGCCCTTGTTTAATCTTCTTTATTCTGATGCAGTTAATGATTAGTTACTCTCACCACAAATCAAATCATGCCTTTTATCAAATTGTGCAAAACAGTTCCCCCCCCCCATTTTTACTCAAGAAGTGTCAGAATTGTCATGGGAGAGAGATATGAATTAATCAGTTGATTCTGTGTAGTACTGATCAGTACTATAAGTACTGCATATGGCATAGACCTGAAAACATCATGCTGAAGTTAAGCAGGTCTGAATATGACTGGTACTTAAATGGAAGGCTGTCTGGGAAGTGTTATGAATGCTCCTTGAGTTCCTTAATTAAAAGGATACAATACTCTAAATAAAATATATATTAAAATGCATGTTTAGTTGATTTACACTAAATAAAATTTTTAAAAAAATTATATTAACCAGAAAGATTGCATAGGTTGTCATAGTTCATAACTGTCTTTTTACTTCTCATAACCTCCAAAATTCTGGGAAGTCAATGAAAAGCTTCAGTTTTGGTGAGTAAGATAATAAAGTCCTGCTCAAATCAATATATCCATTTAGTTTTCATAGCCACTTGCATAGCAGCACGTAAGTGTTATGCCAAAGTCTTCTTTTGGGACGTTTTTCCAGTCTAGTGTATAGGCCTGAATCCCTTATTAAATTCCTTACTAGATTTGCAATTAACTTTAAATGTTGTACTGGCTGCACCATCATGAATGCTAAAGCTGCTACTACCATCACTTAGAGCAGATCATGTTAGCAACAATTTAAATTACATTATTCTAAAACTAGTACAGGTAGTCCTCAACTTACAACCACAATTGGGACTGAAACTTCTGTTGCTAAGCAACGTGGTTGTTAAGTCATACCCAATTTTATGACTTTTTTTGCCACAGTCATTAAGCTAATCACATGGTCATCAAGCAAATCCGGCTTCCCCCGTTGACTTTGCTTGTCAGAAGCCCCCTGGGAAGGTCACAAATGGTGATCACGTGACCCCAGAACGCTGCAACCATCATAAATACATGCCAGTTGCCAAGCGCCCAAATTTTGAACACATGACTGTAGGGATGCTGCAATGGTCCAAAGTGCAAGTACCAGTCATAAGTCATTTTCTTAAGCACCATCGTAACTTCGAACAGGCATTAAATGAATGGTTGTAAGTCAAGGACTACCTGTAATGCATTTTAAATTATGATAGCAGACAACTACTTTTAAGTGCCAAAAAGACAATTTAATTAGTGCTACTGAATTATAATTCAGAGAAAATATGCTAAACCTAGAAGCTAAACTGGTTTCTTATCTAAGACAAGATTGTGATGATGTTGATTTCTGATGCAACCCAATAATTGAGAGTATGGATACCTTTCAATTCAGTTGTAGTCTGTTTCAATGCAGAGGCTTCAGGCCAAACTGACAAATATGTTTTATTAATATTTTGGCAGCTGGAGGCATTCCATTCTTTCAGTAATAATTCATGGAGATCTGATAAATATTTCATTTAGATTAACAAAGGCTAAAAATATGACATACAAATATGAAACAGAACTGGAGCAAAGGTATTACATGGGAATTTCATTTTAGCATAACACTGCCCACATTATTTTCCAATTTAGCATACAGGTGAACAATTTAAATTCTGCAGCAATTAGCAGCCTGATGACAGACACTAAAGACTTCTCATGCAATCATGTGTGGCCTTCAGCTATATATTTTTTAAAACTTTCTATGTTCAGGCAACACTTCCCATAGAATCTGTCTATGGCCAGGGAAATATCATCACAGAAAACCAATGAATAGCAGGGGATTCCAGGTAATGCTGTAGGCTACAGTCTACATTAAGCTTGCATAACAAACTGGCTGAGCTTTCAGGCTAACTTGAAAAATGAATACCTACCCTAACCTCCTAAACGATAGCTATCTTTAACGAATATTCATTACCAAAGTCTACAGCAAGGAATGACATATTTTTGTGTTACATTTCCTTCTGAAATCCACTGGATATCTATATATCTATCTATCTATCTATCTATCTATCTATCTATCTATCTATCTATCTATCCATCCATCCATCCATCCATCCATCCATCCATCCACCACCCACCCACCCATCCATCCATCCATCCATCCATCCATCCATCCATCCATCCATCCATCCATCCATCCATCCTCTCATGCTTTCCAGGAAATCTCACTGGTTTTAAATCAAGGATAAAAAATATGGTGCCTGCAGTATATGTACAGTACTGTACCCTCAAGTCCTCTCTTAATGCTCACTAGGCTTCCTATCTCACCTGACTGTTTTAAAAACTATTTTTAATGTTAAATAGAAATCTGATATGGCACAAAGCAGCATACTTCTAGCACTGTATTTATTTTTAAAAATGCCTTTAAAATGTCACACAAACCCACACTGGAATGACAGAGAACATCCTTGGGTACTAACTCATCTAAAGAGACGTATTATAGTGGCCATGTCATCACATGTTCTCAAGATTCAAAATGCACCCCCGATCAAAAAAAGCTATCTACCCCTCATTTTAAGTAATTCAATCCATAATTCTATTATCCCCACTCTGCGCATTAGAGTTCGACATGATAATGACTCTCCAATAGGTTGTCCAGGTGTGCTTGTTTTGCTTTTACATGTAAGTTGGTCATTATTACTATATAGTAATTGATTCAATCTTGGAAACAGACAGCTGAAGCTATCACTGAGTACATTCAGATAAACAGCTCACCACAGGAGTTAAACAAGCAATTTCCTTTAGGCCCCTTCCTTTTTCAGCTAATGCTGAAAAGAGATTAAATATGGGTTGTCCTCATTTAGCAATCACTATTGGGACCGGCAACTTAGTTGTTAAGTGAACTGGTTGCTAAGTGAAACCGCAACTGTGCTTATGAACTTACTTCAGCTTTCCTTTGCTTTACAGAGCTGTGAAGGTTGTAAATGTGAGGACTGGTCATAAAGTTACTTTTTGATCATCATTGTAACTGTGAATGGTTGCTAAACGAGGCAGTTGCTAAACAAGGACTACTTGTATTTATAGCCCACCTTTTCTTACAAGCTGAGCCAAGTGTGAAAGTTAATTCTTACACAATCAAAAGTAAAACAGCCTGATATTAGGCCATTACCAAAACAAGGAACAAAAGGATATTGTATCATCTGTTCAAAAGAAAATAGCTTTTAGTCGTTTAAGTAGAATGGGTGGGGAAAAAGGCATAAGGAACTGAATATTGACTATGGTATAAATAGAGCTCACATTTGATACACTGCAATCATTGGACTTCTTTTGTAATAGGTCATAGACTTGCCACAATAA